GTGAGCCGTGGTGGGGTGGTGGACATGACCTACACCCTGAATGGCTGAGTGGAGACTTCAGGCTGCAACATGCACAGTTAGACACCTCCTGAAGGTCTGGAAGCTTCTGGGTTCCAGGTGCAAACTCGACATGGTAACGGCACAGCTGTCCAACACTTGCAGTTGTGCTAATTCATCTCCTTGGAGTTTTCCCTGTTAACACTTGCAGATCATGGCTCCACAATCGAGCACTCAAGAAAGATCCTTGGAGTCTTCAAAGCATTTGGGAAGATTCCCTGTCAGACTCCGCCCAGTTCCAGGCAATTTCCTAAAACTCCACCCAACCCCTAAAATCTACGGTCATTCAACTATACCTTCCAATGTCCTCTTAATTACTCTCAGAGAAGTTACTTTGCTCCGAGCGATCCCGGCCTTGAGAGGCGATTTAGAAAGAAGGCACCGGCACATGTATTGACAGACTATCCTGACAAATGCTGCCCGACATATGCATTGGCTCATATGGATTCAATGTCCTGACACTTGTTCTGGCATCAAGTCTGGTATGGCACATCTTCCATCCTTTCTGGCATCAAGTCTCTGGCATAGTTTACCTGGTATCAACATCCTTTCCAGCGTCCTATCTGGCAAATAAGCTGGTATTCTACCTGGCACAGCTTTTGGCACTTGAGCTGGCATATCTTCTGGCATCCTTTCTGGCATACTATACCTTCTGGCACACATCCTTTCTGTTTCTGGCGTTCTATCTGACATACCTTGTGGCATTCCAGCTGCCGGCTGGCATACCTTCTGACATCTTTCCTGGCATTCTATCCGGCAAATCTTCTGGCATGTACTCTGATGACATTCTATCTGGAATATCCCCCTTACTACTCCCAATGGCCTGCCGTTTTGCATTATATAGTAAATTTCCTTTATTAAATGAAAACACACAACCAAAATTACTATAAAATTACAAAACCGACCTGTTTATCAAATGTAGCATTTGTCAGCAAAATTGTGAATCGGCCAGATTGCCAAGAGATATGAATTCCTTATAAAATGAATTGAAGAAAATTATATATATATACAGAATGAACACCTACTCCCAGATGATGTCTCAAGATTTAACATGATGAGATTTCAAAAATGAAAAATCACCCTCTGCATGGCTGATGATCAAAGAATCTCAAAAACGAGCGTACACATTCCGACAAATTCCAGCGTGCGTGCACATGCAAAAACAAAATCACTCCTGCAGTTCTCTTCTTTTTCTTTGCGGCCCTTTCCAAGTTTCTGCTATTGACTCATGTTGACTCCATTGAATACTTTCAACTCAATATCTCTCGTCTCACTTTCCACCACTTCATACTTATAAAATGAAATTCCAACCCTTCCCATCACTCACTTATGTTTATGATATCGATGTCCGTTTTCCGTTTGCTTGGGACCATACCGTGTTTATAAAATGACCCCGTTTCCTGGAACCAACCTCCTTTTTTTTTGTTCCTTCTTGTCTGCCCCCATGATCTTTATAAAATGAGGGTCGGTTTCATCATTTTATAGGGCCAAGGCATCTACATTTTATAGTGGTACAAGCGTGGGGGATTCTGGAATGGCATGTCCTCAGGCCCATGAGTGCCCAGACTGAGCTGGCGCTCGCCCCAAGGTGACGATGCAAAGGAATGATAAGTGCGGAGTAAAGGAGGAGGAAGGAAGGAGTGGCACCTTTGTTTCAAATCATTTCAAATCTAAAGACCCATCACCTGGCAGGTGAGGAACAAAACACTAATATATCTACCACTACACACGAAAAAAAATCACATAAAATCACGCTCCTGCCCTGCCTGAATGGGCTCACGGCCGCGCCCCGGTGCAGAGGAGCTCCGCCGCACCGCAGGACCCGCCTAGCATCGATCGCCCCGTCGTGGCGTCGCGCGGTGGCACGACGGCCGCGACGTGCCAGGTGGCCTTACGGCTCCACAGGTATACCTTCTAAGAAGGTGGGGCTGGGGATGGGTTTAGAGTCGTTTCGAGGGTATGACTTCATACCGAACCTGAGGAGGCACTGCACTTGGGCACTTGGACAGCCCCACACCTGTCTGAATCCCGAAGCAACACATGAACTGGGACACACTGCAAAAACAGTGCGATGGTCTATTTCCTTTCTTCCAGAGGGTGCACTGGGAGCTCTCCCTAGTTCAATACACACTTACTCACTTACTCACTCACAGTGGGTTTGCTTCCAGTCCACACCCCTGCAAAGATGTCGGGTCCTGCCCCTATGGTTTTTGCGGCCCGTCCAGATTCCTTTCGGGCACGGCTTCCCTAAACTTCCAGTCGGTCTCGGGTTCCCTTCACGACGTCCGGCGGTCCTGCTCTTGGTTGTTGCGCCGCCCACGCGAGGGAGGACGTTGTTGCTCTTGTCGCCGCCGAGGTCCTGGCGAACGGCCCAGCGTGCTTGCATGGTTTCATGGCTCGCGAACGGTCCGAGGTCCATCTGGATTCATAACTCTTGCGGCAATTCTGGTGGCATTTCTGCCAGCAGCTCCACTATCATAGGTGCTATCAGTGCTATCATGTGCTATCCATGGAGGTAGTCGGTGTGCCAAGAACATCTCAGAATCTCTGCCACCGCCGCCGACCCCGACGCCCGTTGACCCGTTGACTCCAAAAGCACAGCCGACCTCGCTCCATGGCAGCAGGTGGGCCTCTTGGTGCTTCGCCCCAAATCAGCGACTCCTGGCAAGGAGCAGAAGTCTCCCAGGGAGGCAGGAGGAATCATTTCACGCACGAATTAATCTTAAGAGTTATTATATGTACAGTTCGGAACGGTTCTTGCATGGGAAACACCTTCCAATCTTGCTGGTACCCAAATGCTGCATGTGCTTTACCTCGCACCTGGGGTGCTTAAAGCCTGTCCTTCCCACCCCAGCCTTCGACGGTCACGTAAAAACCGGCACTGCTACGGCCGATCCGTTCGTCGGGTGGCGGAGCGCTGTTCAGAGCCAGTGCAGCGGGTTAGACACTGAAGACAGAGACGACCTGGAGAGTAGCTTCTTGCTCCTATTAAGAATGCTCCGTTCGTAGCGATGCCAGGAGCCCCGTTCGTAGCGTCCTTTGCTCCTAGTAGAGCCCAGCTTGAGATCCTTGACATGGGCAAGTGGTGCCAGCAGTGGGGAATTCCATCCAGAACTGTTTCTGGTTGGGACTGAGTTTCCTGGTTGGACTGTTCAGCCTCCAGGCTGAAGACCTTCAGACCGTAACCCTAGCATGTCATTCAAACAAAACAATCATCATGGTGGTTCGGCAAAGACCTTTTAAATCACTGGTGGGCCAGGAAGGCTTAGGGTGATGTTGGAAGAGATTCTGTTTGGTCACATGGCTGTGGGTCCAATGCGGTCCACTCCCGCTGGTACTCAGTGTATCTCCGCTATTGTACTCCAGTCTGATCAGAACCGGCTTAGCAACCTCCAGGTCGATTTGGTGCCCATGACCCACAGCCACATCGGTTTCATGCTTGGGACCCGTCGCGTCTCGCCGTCCGTCCGGACGTTCGTCGGACGTTCGTCACGGTTCTCGGAGCGAGGTCACCACGCGGACTGTTCAGCATCGCTCCACGCGCGGCCCGGCCCTTCCGTGCTACCCAATGATGTCCTTTTTTTTGTTCTTCATGGTCTTTGTAATTCTATGTACAGTAAGCCTCTAGGTCTTTATCCCCCAAGCATCATGAGCTTTATCAGTTTGACATGGTTTTATCATGTTTCATACTAAGGATTTGACACTCCAAAACCACCAGCCTCACTGCCAGGTCACCCTTGAGACCTTTGGGTCTGGATTCGCTGTTATGGCTCTTAAGGCCCTGGCAGTTGGAGGGTGGCAGGCGGAGAGCAGTTCAGCACTCCCCAGGCCCAGGGGGAGAGGAGATCTAGAGAGGTCGATGACACGTGCCAGAAACCCTGTCGTTGGGAAAGTCCGGTCCTAAGAATTTTCCACCTACCAAGGCCCCAACAATCCTTCGAGCCGACCTGTTGGCAAGGCTCGGACCCGACACCGTTTCACGCAGGGGAAAAAAGGGCCCGAACCAAACCCTATGTGTTTGAAAGCGATCAGTGATTCCAAGAACCTGGTCTGAATCCCAAACCACCGACCTTGCTTTCTTTAGGAGTTTAGACGACCGGAAATGGTCCAACTAAATGGCAATTGGAGAAACCCAGCCTCAAAACGATCAAAAGGCCATCTCTGGTGCTACCCGAGGCTTGGGCCTCAGGCCCGAGACTCGGCTTTCCGAGAACCCGTGAGACCGGAGACCGCCCCAAGCGCGGGATCCAGCCAGTCAAGCGTCCGGAAAATGGCGCCAGATGAGACACCTCCCATCGACCCTTCGTCACTCGAAGAGTCGAACGTCCGAATCTGTCAGCAGCGTCAGCCAGTTCGGATGGTGATATTCTGCCAGTGAACAAACGGATGCGTCCCCAGTCCAAGCCACTTGCCCAATGATTGAGGGATCTCGTTCGCAAGCCATGCCGTGTTGTGCTCCAACCGGAACTGTTTCTGGTTGGGCCGGGGTTTTCATGATCGCCGGACCAGACCGTGACCGCATGTGACTAGAGGAGAACCGACCACTCCAGCCTCACCGACCGCACTGACCAGGCAGGTCACAAGTCCGGAAGATCCAGGTCGATCGAAACAGCTGGGAAACACCATACCCTACAAGTCCAGTCTGACCCAATAAAACCTGGTCTTTGATCTCCTTAAGAATTGGATGTTGATGGATTTTGTATGACCATCACCAGTAAAATGAAGTCTTTGACTTGTAGGGATACAATGGTTGTCCAGGAATCCAAAGGCTTGAGGAGTCACAAGACGGGCACCCCGACTTCCATGGATCGCACCCCTTTGGGATTGCTGGCAGGAATCCAAAGGCTTGACAAACCTTGTTGCCTTGTGGTCACCTGTTTTTGAGGTGTTGGGCGGCTCATCTGGCACCCGGTATGACGCCCTGGCTTTGGAGTCGAAAACGCTCAGCGTCGAAGATCAAGCTGCCTCTGTACCAAACCTTTGTACACCTCAGACAGACTGTTTCACTGACTCAAAGTGTATAAATGGCATCAAAACGGGCATCGGTACAGGACAGGTCCAGTATATACGGGATTCTACGGCGGGTACATGATCAGTGTAGCTGACGAGGTCCTGCTGTGCATGCTAGTGTGCATACCCTCTTAGAATCCGGACCCTCAAAAGCAAGAGTTCTGAGGGGCCCCAAACCCCTGCGAAGAGGTCGGGTCCGAGGTTCCTTGGGGCTGTGCACATTTGACGCTAGCAGTTCCATAGAGGTGGGTGCTGAACGAACGGAAGGAGTACGCCGGGGTGCCCCTGTCACATCCACGAGCCCTGGATGGGACGAACCAAAGCACTTTGGAACTCCTGGAAGATAGCTATAGGTCTTCTCCACCAGCAACTTCTGCACCGCCCACCACGCGGCTGCTCCAGAGGCGTTCGATGGCTCAGAGTTCGCGAAATCCCTTCATAAAGATAGCTGTGCGGTTCCCCCATCAACCCTCATCTAGTTTCTTGAGGCCATCCTTCCCACACCTCAAACCGGTGGCTGTGCGCCCTCCGCCACAAAAGCCTCGCTTCGCATCGCTTCGCTTCGCCTCAAACGCTGAGTCTCTGGCACTTCCCTTCGCCAACAACTCCTCGTGCGTGCCGGTTTCCACGCACTCACCGCTGCTCAACACCACCTCAGACGGGCTCGTCTCCGGTGACCGCTACGGGCACCGGACGTGACGGGCCAAACGGGGCGACGTGACGGGCCACGTCCGGAGAGACCGATGACCGCTCATGCAGTGCTTGCAGGAGTCATCCACACAAGTGCACCAGTGGTTGGATATACAGCAATTGCCACCATTTCACCACAATTGCACAACTTCAGTTTGAGGTGTCAGTCACTTCTGGACCCATACGCCACCGACAGGCTGACCACAGGGTGAGGGGTCCCAAATGTTTCTCCACCCAGACGCTCCAAACAGCCCGACCGGTCCTTCAATACCTATAGGCTATAGGGATTGGTTCGACCCCATAAGACCCCAGACCCCTCCAGAGGATTCGGGTCTGACCCCTCCATACAGGGTCGCGTGTGGGCGTTCGAGCTTGCGGAGGCCTTTGAGGAACGTGGCGCAATCGGAAGGGACCCTGCGATTTTGATCGCGGCCAGTCCAGGTCGCTGGGTGATGATTTGAAGTTCCTCCCCACCACTCCCCATGTCCGGCGTTTCAAACACACCAAGCAAGCGGTGCATCTCGCGGTGATTCACCTGATTTCGAGTGAATCGATGTGCCCTAAGGGTCCAGGATCATCCGAATCGGATGGTCTTGGAGGTGAGTTCGTACTTCCTGAGAATGGTCTTTGGGGCCAAAGGACATCCTCAGGACCTCAGGATGGTCCTGGACCCTTAGGGGTGAATCGTCTATAATTTATATTGATTTCAAGATCCCTCGAGGGTTCCAAATGGTTCTAAAGGCCAGACCATCCATGGGACTGGAATCGCCGCCGACCCCGACCTTCAACCACGCCAATGTCGAAGGGGGGAGGCGGGGCCTAGGCAGCCCATGCGGGAACAAGAACACCTGCACCTTCAACCCGCCCATGTTCCCGGGCAGGGAATGACTCGGCTCGGATCCTCGTAGAACTCCGATCGCGGAGTTGCAATTATCGATCAGAGCGGCGATCACGTCGGCGTCCTTCACCGTGGACAGGCGGTGCGCGATCACCTGAAGCAGCAGCCGTGGACGAGCGTTGGAGCGTTTGAAGCCCAAAGCATACTGCATAAGATGCATAAGAGTGGAATAGTTATACCCTGTAGAAGTCCAAAGACTATAGGTCGCCCCAGGGAAGGATCCTTTCACAGGGCATATAACTGCATTAGGCCATGTTCATGGGGTAAATGCATACAAATTAGACTATTCCAATCCCATGGATGGTCTAGGAAGCGATATGAATACGGGTCCCTGTTTGGTATTTGTGCTGTAGTTTAATGTTGTTCTTCTTAACCTGGCAGCTCTCAACTCGCGTGGCGAGTTGGATCTATCCTAGAAGTCCAAAACCCAAACGCTCATTGGACCCTCAGTTCGCTAGGGTTTTGACCCTCACAACTAGGGTTTCGGACCTCAAACATATAGCAGTTGGTTCAGGTCAATGAGCGTCTGGGTTGGACTATTCTTGGGACATTCGAAGAGTTCAGGACATTCTTAGTCTCGGGATGTCTCGGGTCACCGCCCAAAAAGAGTCTTGAACTCCCAGGGAGTATACCTGGGCCCGACTTCGTTCGTGCCGAAAATAGGACAGACTTGAACAAAAAGGAAAACAGGTCAAAGACGACCCCATTTACTAAGGCACCTTTACCGGGTCGACTTCAGGTACATGGACCTCCGACGCGACGCGACATGAGTTCGCTCCTGATCCGTGCGAATCCCTGGCGAATCGTGATAATGCGACTCATCTTCCAGGAGTCCAACGGCCGATTTCATGGTCACCAAACAAGCATTGTTGACTGAGATTCAAATTCATCACCAATCAGAACCAGGTCAGTCAAACAAAAACCTGTGAACATGCTTGAAGGCAGGCATCCGGGGAATCCTTAAGACCCAGTCAGAAGAGTCAGAACAGAACAAACAATATCAGATCACCCACGTCACCTCATTGGACCCTCAGTTCGCTATCTTTTTCAGCAAAACCACCGAAACGTGACCAAGCGCCCACGTGACGAAAAGCGCCAGTGACTCGTTGGGACCGTCAAACGCCATCCATTCAACACATCGATGAGGAGCTTAGAATCAAAAAGCTCCATCCATTCCAACACTTGTCACATGGACTTGTGAAGGTTCGTGGACTTGTCACATGTCCACACTTGGATTTGTTTTGTCCACAAATCTTTCACACAAACATTCACCACCAGCCTTGAGTCCGTTCCCTGTTTTCGTCAAAAAGAAACACTGTTGAGGACGCAACAGCCTCCCGCATCGAGTCCCGCAACCGAGCGGCGAGGAAGGTGCGCCCCTCACGCTGCTTCATGAGCTGCTCCAAGGCCTAGCCCAGATACTAGAAGTGGGAAGCTCTGACACCACCCCCAATGTATTTCAATGTGACACTCCATGGGACTGTACACCAGGGGCCCCACATGGCCCATCAAACACCTCGTTTTCCCTAGCAACACACATGGTTTTGGTATGTGAAAACCTTCCTGGACCTTCTTTCGGGGTGTCCTGGCTGGAGGCCCCTTAGTGGTGGGCTGGGGCGAAACCAGCCAGGTGACCCCGACATGAAGGTGCTGGTTTGTTTTTCATGGGAAATTACTTCAGCCCCTTGGTACCTGAACACTTCGACCACGGAAAGGGCGGTCCTATGGGTCGTCCGGAGGCCGCGGTCCGGCGGGAGGAGAAGAGAAGACGCCAAGCGTGCCAAGAGCACGCTGTTCAAAGCACGCTGTTCAGAGCTGGAAAGTGAGGTAGGCCAAGGAACCGAGCTAGTTATAACAAGAAGCTACTAGTAACAAGGTGCATCGCTACAGTAACAAGGGCATTACTAGGAGCTGAGCTTGCAGCAAATGAACTTCCACGCCTCTTGAACCATCCCTTCAGACTCCGCATCCAAGGCAGACGTGGCCTGCCCGCCAGCACGGCACAGGGCAAGCCGGAAGCTGTGAAGGAATGTCCTTTTGGCACAAGTTACAGGGGGATGGCCGAAGGAGGGACTCCAAAATGACCAGAACATCCCCTCATTTAGGCGAAAAACCATGACCTTCCAGAAGTTCCGCGTCAGGTTGGCTATTGGTGGTCTACGGGGTGCCCCTGTTACAACGAAATCACTGCGATGGGACTCAACAACAGCAGGTCTTATGTAACTCCATGCAGGTCTTATGCCGATGAGGACCGCCCCAACGAACCCAAACCACTCTACATGTACATTCCCTAGGGCTCCAACCATCTCCTCAGAAGGTGGTTAGACCCCCGAAACCCACCCCAACCATCTTCTCAGGAGGTGGTTGGAGCCCTAGGGATTATGATATTACGGCATATTGACCTAGATTGGAGTGGTTGAAAAGGAGTCAATACGGCGGCATATATTCCAGTGCCACTTGCAGCGCCATGGATCACGTCTGATTTTGCAACTACAGGTTCAGGTATTGGGGGGGGTTCTTAGCCACTACTCCTGATGTCCACTGGTTTGGGTTCACCTCTACATGGCTTGGTCCACGAATCGCCAGCGCATGCCAGCGGCCCACTTTTCTCTTTGGCCCCAGCTCACAGCTGTGCCACGAACGCGGGAGCCACCACATCCTGAAGCAGGGGACTCATGGTTGCAGGTGGCACGCCTTAGGTCCTGAATTAGCTCTTTAAGGGATTTTGCGTTGGCTGGCAGCTCGTCTCAAGCGCAAGAAAGCACGCGCAGTGCTTTGACCTGCTTCTCATCAACACTGATTGGACCTTTGGTGTACCACATTGTTTGATGCTGTCCAACGGGCTGTCCAAACAGCATCAAGCTCAGCTCAGGGTCGCTGCAAAACTCTGCTCTGCTATCGCCTATCGCTCAGCTTGTCTCAACATTTTCTCACCTCAGCTTGCTGTTTTCCGTCGACACGCCGCCGTGGCCAGATCTAGATGTCAGGACAATGCTATGACATGCCCCCCCACCTTTGAGCTACATCAAGTGCCAATAATTTCCAACAGTGGTTGAGAGACCTGAACTTGAACCCATACAGTGCCTGGAAAGCCATAATATATTTTTGAGGACCAAACAACCTTGACCACAAGCAATACAGGGTTTTGCTATGGCCTGCGGCCTGCCATACTCTTTTGATTTGACCATGATTTTTGGGTTGTTATGGGCAAAGATTGTACTTGGACAGGCAAAAATGAACGTTTACTGTTTTTTTCCCCACCCTTTCCCCTGGGATCCCCTGGTTTTCCACATGCACCCGCCAGCTGCCTCGGCACGGCACTGGACTCTGACGCTGAGCTGATCGGAGCGGATCGCGTGTCCGCTTCCAGTCGGCGGAGCAGGAAGCCGAAGGTCTCGTTGGACTTCGGATAATTGGCATCCACCTGACAGCGACCGACCATTGATTCCTTAGGAAAACTGAGTTTGGTGGACCAAGCAAACTCCATCTGTTCTGGTTGAGTGGGGTGTCCCCCCAGGTCATCCGGTCATCCACCTGGTTGAGTGACTGGACATTCAGAAGACAAGGCGAATCGCTCCATGGACACCATGGCGCTTCGCGCGTTCTGTTCGTGAGCACGAGCACCAGTCCTAGCTGTCCAATTCGACAAGTTGGGGACCACCGAAGTAAAGGACAGTTCCTAGCTAGACTTGGATCAAACCCTTTTGAACACACTCTTGGACTGCCAAGGTATATATTATATGGTGGTTGATCAATATTCTTTCATCCTGGAGTGTTCGCGGAAAAACGATATCTTTCGCGGATCTTTCGCGGCCTCATCGCGAAGCATGGTCCTGGGGCCGGAACTATTCATAGTATGAGTATCCCAATCCTCGTGCCAGCTAACAACACAGGGTGATGCAGCTTAGGGAGGGTGAGGGGCCTCAAGCTGGGAACCTGGACTTTAGCGGCACATTCGTGAAGCTTTCGCGGATCTTTCGTGAAATTTCACTGGTGATTTCCCCAGGAAGCCGTAACATTTGCAAACATCTGCACAGCCCGTCAGAGCAGCTGCAGGTCGTTGTTGCCTCACGGTCAGGGCTGTGCCTACTCAGGTTGCTAGTCTGTGACAGCGGCGACAGGAATCGGAGAATCCTTTACGCACTGCCAGGCCTGGGCACGGAAATGTTGAGGCTTCAGATCGTTAGTCTGTGACAATGGGGACATGCGGGGACACTTCCGCCCACCGGCTCTGCCAGAGGATTGCCTTGTATTTCCATTCTTTGTCAGTCGGTAGAAAGGAAACCATGTGAAAGCGATGATCTTCGATGGATCTTTTGCGGAAAAACAGATACTTTCACGAACCCCATCGCGAATCTTTCGCGGATGGTTTTAACAACATCTGAAAGGCTGTTTTATATAAAACTCCTTACATGGGTTCTAGATCAACCCCCTATATAGAGAATATAGAGGCACCCGAAAGAATGAGTATGTGACAGTATGTGTTTTTGAACGTGGTGGTAGTCGGCGTCATTCCACATAGTCAGAGGAAGTTTTTGTGTTCTTTTTTGGCATTGTCATGGCTTGGTGATGGTAACGAGAAAGAAGTTCAACCTGACAGCATGCATGGCCGAGTTCAGTTATTATTGAGAAAGCCAGGATGGTCTGCAAGTTTCTCCGTGAATTTCGAGAGGATGTGTGGCGGTTGGCAGTTCTCTGAATGAAACGGTGACGATAAACATCTGCCACATCTTGAAACGCTGCAAACCATCCAAACCATCCCAAAAGTCCGCCATCGAAAAGCCCGACCCTGTGGTGCAACGGTGGTACAACAGTACAGCCTTTGACTGAACATCACTGAACATGAGTTTATTTGTTCTGCAGAGTCCTTATATCTCAAGCCAACTTGCGGTTCTGAAACCATAAATGATGGAGAATGACGGTAGCTTTCACATCTACCCAGACACTCCACGTATGCCATAATATATGCCTAATGCCTACATTGACCCCCCAAAACCACCCCAACTGATCGGCAGTCCTATTGCAGTCCCCATTAGTCGTGTCTGGGCTATAACTGATCTATAGTCGAAAAAAATACTTTACTTCGAGTGATCCCCACCATGACATTTCAATCATTTGTCTTGATGCCATAGTGAGGAGCATGTTGCCATAGTCGTTAGTATTGTAGTTCTCGATGTTGCTTGTGGGTCCTCGGGTTGTGTGCTGTGGTTGTGTGCTGTGTTGTGGTTGTGGTTGTGGTTGTGTGTTTGTGGTTGTGTGTTTGTGGTTGTGTGTTTGTGGTTGTGTTTGTGGTTCTGGTTGTGGTTGTGATTGTGTGTTTGTAGTTGTGGTTGTGGTTGCGGTTGTGTCTTTGTGATTGTGTGTTTGTAGTTGTGGTTGTGGTTGTGTCTTTGTGATTGTGTGTTTGTAGTTGTTTTTGTGGTTGTGTGTTTGTGGATGTGTTTGTGGTTGTGTTTGTGGTAGTGGTAGTGGTTGTGATTATGTGTTTGTAGTTGTGGTCTTTGTGATTATGTGTTTGTAGTTGTGGTTGTGGTTGTGGTTGTGTCTTTGTGATTGTGTGTTTGTACTTGTGGTTGTGGTTGTGTGTTTGTGGTTGTGTTTGTGGTTGTGTTTGTGGTTGTGTTTGTGGTTGTGTTTGTGGTTGTGGGTTTGTGGTTGTGGGTTTGTGGTTGTGTGTTTGTGGTTGTGTGTTTGTGGTTGTGTGTTTGTGGTTGTGTGTTTGTGTGTGTGTTTGTGGTTGTGTGTTGTGTATGTTTGTGGTTGTGTGTTTGTGATGGTGTCTTTGTAGCTGTGTTTGTAGTTGTGTGTTTGTGATTGTGTTTGTAGTTGCGTGTTTGTGATTGTATTTGTGATTGTGTTTGTGATTGTGTTTGGGATTGTGTGTTTGTCTGTGTGTTTGTGGTTGTGTGCTTGTGGTTTTGTGTTTGTGGTTATGTGTTTGTGATTGTGTCTTTGTAGTTGTGTGTTTGTGATTGTGTTTGTGATTGTGGGTTTGTGATTGTGTTTGTGGTTGTGTGTTTGTGGTTGCGCGTTTGTGGTCGTGTGTTTGTGATTGTGTGTTTGTGGATTTTATCTGGCAAACTATCTGGTTGAGGTCCAGCGGTGCACACTGCGATCGGATCCTTGCGGTTGAGGTCCAGGGGTGCAC